CTTCAAGGCAACTGCCCGGTAAGCGGGGGATGCGGGTTCAAGTCCGCTCTGTTGTCAGGATCTGCCGATACTCGATAGTTATTCATTGCAAGATCCCCAACAGTCTGTCTTTTCCGCTATTTCCTCTTTCAGTGGAGTATTCGAAAAAGACTTGCATGATCACAATTTCCCGTACTACATCTCTTGGAAGACTGCCGTAGTCACTCGCAGGCGCTGTTTATCGACGGGGGGGGGGCATTCTGCTTTTCAAGGATTTGCCAAGGGTACTTTTTTCGGGTTGACGCGTTTTAGGATGGTGGCTGGACGATCTTGCTCCAGCTTCACAAGTGTTTACAAGTTTTACCAGAATGAGATTTGTGAACCAGCGCCAGAGAAGCAGTTAGGATACAAAATGCTCCCCCCCCCCCTCCATAAAACAGCGCCTTCGCATCTCCTTGTTGTTTATACAATAGCAATATGTGCAGGCACATTAATCTGGATACCTGTTTGAGAAATGCTTGCTCATGAGGTTCTCTCTTACCAGTTACCATGAGCCTTAAAATGCCACCTGCTCAGCTGTTTATTTTGAGCGGCGAGAGCCATCGCAAATGTGGCTAAATTATCCCTGGTGGCACACCCATGCCATCAGTGTCTGAAGGTGCGTCATGCGCATTGTTTTTTGCACAATTTTTTCTGGCAGAGGTGACTGTTAATTTACTGGTTAATATTCTTCGCCGCGAAAATTGTTCAAAGAAAGATTTGCAATAGTCGCATCGCGAGAAAGTAAATGATTACTGGGTAATTCCAGTTAAACGCGATACCTGATGAGTTAATGACAGTTCAAAAGTTTCACGTGTATTTACTGCTCAATTTTGAACCAGTAGTTGATAAGTAATTCCGCTTGAGAAGAAAAAAGCAAGAAAAATCATTGGTCTCTTTTTCGCATCTCCCAGTACTAAATATCATCGATACAAAGGGAAAGAAAAGAAAATCAACACCTAACATTGCCTGGAGAACGCGAAATCAAAAAGATACTTTTGGAAACTCTGCGTACTGATTCAGGATTACGGTAGCGTGGACTTTTTAGTGCAGTCAAGCGGGTGTGTGGTGTTCTTAAAAGATCTCACTTCACACCTATCATGCCTCTGGGAAGACTCGCGCTGTCGGTGGTTGCCTGACTTAATTGCTCTCCTCAAGAAGTCCCGTTCTCAAAGTACTAACTCCTCACTAACTCCTGACCCTCTCATCTACAAACACAACTGAGCCAAACTGAACATGGAAAGTAGAAGGAAAAAATAAAAGTAAACGTAGGAAATGTCAGAAAAAAGATGTTTTCATAAATTTAAAATGTCAAAAAACACATTTAACCACTTACAACAACTGAAATGCAGACGTACACAACATGAAATTACTGCAATCCAAATAGGAAAAAAGGGGCACGTATTGAAAAAATTCGTTGCTTTCATCATGGAAGGTATCCCAAATGATCTGAACTTCTAGGCTCTGTAATTACTTGACGGTTGAATGTGTCTTGCGCCAAGAACTCGCTGCAATTGCAAGGACTTTATTGATGCCCCTCTATAGGGAGGTTAATTCGTTAAATATGACCGCCACTACGTTAAACTGTTAGGCATCTCTTTTATCAACCTCACACCTATATAAAGGTCGTCGCTAATCAGTATTTAAGCGGGCTGATCAGCGGAAATCTTTAGCAATGTTGTGTAACGCAGAGTAGAGCATGAACGATAAAACTCCTCCCTTTATTCCGTTCCCACCAATTCTCTGATTTTCCATGATGTCTCCGGCAGTACACCACTCCCTTTCCCTTTGTGCACGTTTCTTTTTGAACTTCGATGCTTGTATGTCTTCGAAATGGCGCATCTCAAATCGAAGCGGAAGAATATTGTCGAAAAATGTCTAGATTTGTTACTAACACTACCATCTAAGCCTAATTTATGTGTTTCATTTTAATTCATTTTAGCATGCTTTTCATCTTTGATTGTTTCATGTGATTCAAATTTTTCAATTGTAGTCCTTAGTTCTATTAAAGTTGCTGAAAAATTAGCAGTAAATAATCACTCATCATGATGTAATCGTCAAGTAGAGGAAAGGTCAGGAGCTAGTGAGAGAGCAATTAAGTCAGGCAACACCGCAGGCGAGTCTCCCCGAGAGGCATGATAGGTGTGAAGTGAGATCTTTTAAGAAAGTCCTACACCCCAGTCAAGCTGTTGCACCAAAAATTTGCATTATGTGATTTTAACGCGTTTTACCTTGTGAGATATGTTGCAGTTGACTGTGTGCGCTCCTAATGAATAAAATGTGATAAAAGAATTACTTATGGGTATGAGCGCCGTAAGCAAAAATGTACATGCAATTCGGATTAATGCACGCCGCCTCAAAAGAACAGCTAACCGGTCCTGCGTCAGATATGAAGAAACAGCTAACCGACCCTGCGTCAGATATGAAGAGGACATCTAACAAGTGGGCGGCCGACTGGGTGGGTGTCAGAGCTTTCGGCGGCTGTAACACTCTCCTCGCTCGCTGTGGAGTCGCGAGAGTGGGACAGTCTCTTAGCTTGGGGGCTGACTACTTGCACAAGGAAGGACGACATGAACTACTTGAGCGCGGGACTGTCTTTAAACTCCTTCCTTTCCCACAACAATGGCAGAGGTTCGATGACTACCTCGACTCGAAAGCGAGTGACAAGTTCCTTTGTCCATGAAGATTCCGGTCTTGACCCAGCAGTGGCGACTTCCTCTTTTCTAATACTCTCGTGCGTGCGCATTGTCTGTTCGCCTCCCTCTTCTGGTTCAAAACCAGCAGCAAAAGGAACCTTGTGAAGAAATTTTTTATATATTTTGTCTGCTCTTTTCTTCGCTGGTGAGTCAATAGGCACCCAAGAGTTCATACCATGACCTGCGCGACTTGCAAGCACAGAATGTGTCTTCGGAGTGAGCGGAAAGGTTTTCAACGCTTAGCGACCGCGTTCGACGTTATCTTTGGGCCGCTGTAGAAACTGAATACGTTCTGTGCTTACTTTGATTAAATTAGCAGTTGCAGCAACCCAACGATAAGGCGATAGAGCCATGGTCAGTCGCACTCGTCTGGCCATTCAGTGGCGCTATTTTGGAATCGGCCGACTGAATGGGGAGATTTGCGAAGAAGTAATGCAGACTCAGCAAAACAACTGGCTGTGGTACAAGGCTAGTCTTCAAGTTGTAAATAATACATAGTTTCAAACTATGAGCGATATATTGAACAGTCACTACTTTTTATTACTTTTTAAATGTAGAAGGTTCTATTTTATCACCCAATGTGTCAGAGCCAACAGGGCGTTCTATACAGCCAGAATCCCTCAGCACGCGGTGCGAGGGAGTCAAATTAGGTGACAAATTCCCTTCATGCCTAGCGCGCCCTTCGCGTAGAGCTAAAAGAATCCTCGCGTTGGAGAGAAACATGAAATCTGAAAATTCGAAAATATCTGTGATTTTTCGCTGCGGGAGTGAGGAGATGCGTAGGTCTCAATGGCCATAGGGTCTGAAGTGCTATCTTAAGTTCGGGAGTTAAGCTATTAACAGTAAAGCTCTAGAACTCCCCTGAAACACTTCCCACGGGTACTAAGCCTCAGACATAGGTGGATTTTGGGGCTACAGCATCGGGCGCATGGATATGAGAGAAGTACAAGGACAATCGGATGTCTGTAACATTTGTTTTCCACTAGTGCATTTTTTATTTTTAATTAACAATTTAAAAATATTTTTCAAGAATTTCTCCTTTTGTTTGCAGCTGAATGAAGTGATAAACGAGGTATTTGATCCTTTGTACTGCTGTTTGTTTTGAGTACACGTGTAAAGTTACTGATAAGCGGTGTTATTCTGGGCAAAGCACCTTCAGTTAGATAGTCATGAAGTTTCATTGAGAATGGCTGGGGGAATTGGCGTTACCGTACACACGAGCCGCACCTGTTGAATGCCTCAAAGTTTAATATCTCGATACTGTACATGTAAAGAGATCACCTGAGATTGCCAGGTGGGCGGGCAACGCCACTGACGAGCGCTCGTCTCATGGCATCCTACACCACTACAGAATGAGGAAAAAGAATGCGCGAGCAAATAACGTCGTAGCCTAACTCCGCCCACCCACCAAGCCCTGAGGTCTCTTAGGTACACCGTGTAGAAGGAGGTTGCCCGAAAGTTATGAACGAAAAGCGAAGGATCTTGTGCTCTCTTTTCTAGAGCGGTCCGTTTTGTTGTCCACTGTGTTAGTTTGTAGTATTGCAGTTCAATGCCCACAATAACTAATCGGAGGAAAAGAGGACAAAAAGAGGCGGTTTTTCAACGAATTAGCGGGGCATTATACTATACTGCATTATATTGACGCGGGAATCCGTGTGTCCTTATGCCGAAACATATTCTTCGGCAGAACGGTTTGTTAGTGGGACCAACACATATGTTACCTCACCCAAGAATTACTGCAAGTGTCATCCCCGCAAAGACTGCGATGGCCTTGAGAAGGCAGAAAATGAACAAATATTAATAAAATTTTTCATTTGCACATACATAGTAGACCCATAATATGACCAAGATCACCATTTTAGATCGGACCAGAGTGCTTAGGAAGGGACAGAAAACATCAAGAAATGCGTGAGTATCCGTAGAAGTAACGATAGGTAAAGCTGATGTGTCCTCGAAAACCTGAAAGAGAGCTATTTAAGCTTCACTTCTCAGATACTTCGGACAAGGCTATGTTAATGGTAGGCACAATGCCATGCATTGTTACTTGCACACCGTGCACAAGCCCCGCCCCTTTGGACGAGTTTTGACCGAACGTGTGCATTAGCGGACCACATCCACCGTCTACTGTAAGTCTGTTTTTTTCACGAGTTCCTTAGAGTAACTCTCCTAGGAGCGCAGGTCGGGCATTACGATAAGCGGCAAAGTATACAAACTCCGTAACAAAATACCTACCCGTGCTGCACGATTATCGATCGGTTCCTGACTGCACTCGCAACGAGAAGAGAGCTAGACAAGAGGATGACAAAGAGGTACATCCGTACTATGATTCATTTCTCCACGACTTGCCCTGAAGAGAAAAGACTGTTGATCGTAGTAACAGATGCAATGAGCACTACTTTTAGCAAGGACGTCAGAACACGTTTCTCCTTTGATGCAGCCCCACCACCAACCCAAAAATACCGGAAAAATCCCGTCTAGCGGAAAAGGGGGGTGGGAGGAGAAAAGAACCCCGTTAAAATAGTAAATTTGTCACGAACCGGTCTAAGGGAGGCTGTGGCTGAGAAGGAGATTCACCATGTCCGAAACGAGAAAGAAGTCAATGATCAAGGAAAAATTTTCTGGAGCCAAGCACGACCTTCCCTCCCATGGCCGAATGCGACCTACACGTTGATGGGAGTTCGCCCCTGAGGATTCGCCCTGATTTTAACTGGAATCCACCTACGTGATGTACTTGACAGAAGCCCGTTTCAGCATAACTGATTCTCCTCGCCTTTTTGACGGATAGAAAACCGACAAAAGAACGTCTTTCGATGCTTTACGAAATCGTGACGAGACCACATTGTACAGTATCGGATTCACGATGGGCGCCAAGTAGAATAGAAAACCTGAAAAAAACGAATTTTCTATCGCAGCAAGCCTTATCGGCTGGAGCTTCTAGTCTTTATATATTAATTCGTCATAGTCAGAAGATCTTATTCGCTGGACCTTTGCTGTAATTCTTCTATGTTTTGGTTGGAAATATTTTATGCCCTTTCTGGCGCCGGCGCCATTCAAAGGCAAAGCCCGCGATCATTCGCCATCACAGATAGTGGATTAGGGGTTTGCATATAGACGACAAGGTTCTGAGTAACTCGATAGTGAAGAAAAAAGCAGAAGAAAAACATGCCATCTGCCCTAGATAAAACCCCATTCCGATCTGAGTTGTTATAGCACTACGCCCTCATCTACATAGCTGATTTCTCGGTGAGAACCCTACGACCGTACAAGTGACGATTTTCATGCTTTTTCGTCCTGCAGCTTCGTTTTTCACTGAAAGGCGGGCCTTGAAGGCGGAGTCTGGAGGCGGAGTCACTGGAAAAAAGGAGGCGTCACTGAACCTATATTGCGCTATAGCGCCCCTCCCTTACAATTTTTTGCCGCGAAACCGGTACAAGGTTGTTCGTCGCGGACCACACTACCCTCCCGACGCCATATTTTCGACTCTTTCACCTGAACGTGACCGTGTCCCCAATCAGGGCACAGCATCGAAACACATAAGGGGGAGTCGCTACTTTTTCACTGGGAGGGTGGCTAATTTAGTCGTTGATGTGCCTTTGATAGAAATTTGTCGCGTTGTTTTTCCGGTCGTTGACCTTTTGGCGTGGTTTCTGTTTCTGTTTCGCGTGTACTATATTACCCGCGCCCTTCCCCCCCACGATAATTTTTGGTGGCGTGAAAGGGCGTGTGGTTCGTACTGACACCTTCTCTCGGAAGGAGGGGGAGGGTACCGTACACCTACACCACCACCTCAAATATCACGATGCTGTACTCTGCCTCTAATTCCAGAATAATTTCTAGCGCCAGAGTGGCGCCAAAGGGCGAAAAAGTAGAGGAAATTCCTACTAATGTAGCACTGGATTACTGAGAGCATACGCGGCACCGGCTCCCTTGAAAAAACGACGAGAAAATTGATACTCTTGTAAGCAAGAGATCAACAGGAACAAAAGAGAGGCGAAACTGAGAAACAGGGAACCGAAAAAATCAACAGTTACCAAAGATCAACGAAAATGAACAAAATTTCGAAAATCAGGGATATGGAGCCCTTGGTCTCACACAATAGAGCTATCATCGTTATTATGTCATAAAGTCACTGAATACTGTTCTTTTTCTGCAGACGTATTACTAATCACCCGTTTGAGTAAGAACTTAAAGACACCTTTCGCTATGGTACTTCGCGCGGTTTGGGGTCCATGCACGGTTTCGAACACGCTTTTTGATCTAGCAGTAGAAAAGAAACTGAGCAAAACCGTAGAAGACGTCCTCAACGAGGCTTTAGAATTGGACGGGTGTTTATTCCAAGAATTATGATATTTCTGCGTGGGCAGAATACCAGACAAAAAAAGAAATAATAGGAAAACAAGCAAGAAGACGAACAAGATGATTAGGCTTGTTTCTATTAGGAACGAGCGCACAGCAATACGTTTGGGACGCTCATAGGTGTAGGCTAGTTGGCATACCTCCTTCCCCCACCTCCAGATGGGTAAGACACGTTCTACGTGGGGGTACCTTCACCTGATGAGATTTGGAGATGTGGAAATGGGGAAGTGGAACAACCTCTCAAATGCAGACCGGTTTACTTGTCCGCTCGATATCCAGCAAATAGGATGGGCGTGGCTGGTACCTCATTCGAACACACTTAGGATACGTTTTTCACTTGGTTATTTTCTTTTGAGACGACTGTCATCCTGTCTCGCGTTGGACAAACACAGAGAAATCTTTAAAAAAGAAAAGGAAGGAAGGAAAGGCAGTCGTAACCACTTCGAACGAAGCACGCGTCCACGCCCTCCCCATTTCTAGGATATAGCGTGTGCCAGGAAAGGAAGGGGTTGGGTAACCGCGAGATGTGTTTTCAACAACTGCAAAAGACCCATAAAATCTAATGTTTTTCTAACACAATTTTGATAGAAAAGCAAGAGAAAAAGTTCAAAAAGTTTGATTATTCGGCTAAATAACTTGGATAACTAGTGAAGCAGCATACCTGATATAAAAAAGAGGTACTGGTTCAGTGTTGAAACGGATTGTTCGTTTTCCAAGTAGAAAAATGAGAGGCGTTGTATTTGAAAAGGCAGATGGCAGACGAACAATGCGCAAATAATGCTCACTAAAAACACAAAAATGACGTCGTTATGGGCAAGAGATTTCAATAAAATAGTAGCCTACCCAGAATAAAAGTTAGTCGGGAGTTCAAGTCATCTCCGCCTCGATCTGCATCGGCACGATTAATATCTTTGCGAGACGACCGGACCTGAAACGTTTTTCAATCAATCAATATCTATCCTGAGCATATGGAATGAATCATTGTCTAGAACCTACGTGAATAGCGATAAATATGTGCAATACAAATATAATTGAAAGCGGTATAACAAAGAACAAGAGCGCCGATAAATGGAAAATGAACTGAAACAGAGTAGAGTTCGAATTTGTCCACGTTGAAATTGGTAAAAGAGGCGTTCATAGCCAGGAAATGAGGTGGGCGTGGCTGCATACTCCACACTGAACGTGGCTGCGGCTACCATTTTGGTGGGATGTTGCCGTTTTGGGACAATTGTAAACAAGTTTTTGTCGAGCCATGACTGGAATACTTTTTTCTCAGATGAAAATCATCGCCGGAAAACGCATCCTATGCCACGTTCATATCGAGTACGCAACCACGCCTTCCCCATTTTCGAGATATCGAGTATAGCTCCGCACCTTGTACATGGGCTTTGAACCACGATCAAATAACACAGCGACCATACACATTTTTGACGAAAGTACCTGAACTCAGTAATGAATTTGTAGTGCTCAGATAATACAACTATAGGTGGATTATGGTAATTCGATGGAGGAAAAGCTCTTCACGGGAACGTGGTTTTCCGTTCCAGGCCAGTCTTTTAGGATATAGTCAGCTCTATGATAGAATCCAAACGGTGACGCGGATATAACTGACAAGATCCATGCAGCGCATAACACTTTATGTACCTGGATTTGAATTGATTAGCTTGTCATTTGGAACGATCGAATCGATCGGATCTTACTATAGTATTCTCTTCTTCTACATAAACTCTGTCTAGTTGATAAGGCAGCGTTCAGACTTCGCGACGGCAGCGCTTCGGTCGCGCGTTCGACGCGATCGATGCGCATGCTTTCGACTGCATCG